AATTTTGGTCACCAAAATGAAAAAAAAACATACTATAATTATTTAAAGTGTTTTTCGCTTATGCGTGTCTTGCAGTTGCCTTTTGTGAATTGTTGTCTTTTTAAGTAGATATTTTTGCTTTTGCTGTTATATTTTATTTCCGATTTCATGAACAGTTGTATATTATTGTACCTACTTTTAAATGGTAGATTTTTCTCAGGGTTCTGCATTTTTTGTTTTTATTCTATTTGTAAACAGTTTAAACGTGAAAGTATTCTATAGACAAACTATAACTAATAATAATGTTTATGTGATTTAAGACTCGGAAAGTCTGGATATCACGGAGGTACAATAATTTATCAACATTTAAGGCATGAGTATCTGTATAGGACCGCGATGAATAGGTAAACTTAACTTTATATAATTTAGCCTTTAAGTAACGCGTTGGAGGTAGGTAGTATTAAGCAGGCTCATGTGAAACTGCTCATAAAGAATAATAATACGAGGCTATAAAGTAATAATTAAACTTGGTTTATTTTAACTAAATATAATTTAAATGAGATAAAGAACATAATAATCTCGGATTCTGTCAATATAACTGTCTCGATTATTATGGGTAGTATTTGCAAGTCGTACAAAACTGGCTAATATTGATTATGTGTGTAATATGTTAAAAGTTTAGGTATGTTTGTTTATTTAATATTAAATTCGTGGAAATGTAATCACAGAGTAGAGTTATTTGTACAAGTGATGATAGACGGTTGTAACTTGTAATACGGTTTAGAGGACAATTAAATATTACGTAGGTGGTAAGAACACGTTCATTTTTTTTAAACCATTGGCTTTGCAAGTTTTTAATTGAATATTGTAATTTGTTTCAAGTTTGATCATATTAATGTCTGAATAATTTTCCGACGTTATTAAAAATATTAAATCATCCTGAATGTCGTGTCACGTGTTGCCCTGGCAATTCGTAAATATCACGACTTGGGTTAATTTTTTGAATGTGTTGTTTGAACCGTTTAAAATGTTATAACTGAGCTAACGTCATATTTTTGTAATGGCTGTTTTCCGAGTTATCTTCCTCCCACGCTTGCTCGGAGGGACAGAAAAAAGATAAATGTCCTCGACATTAATATGCGGGTCAGTAACACGATACAGATGGCCTTTCCCCTGCCTTTTACATATTGTTTTTTAATCGTTTTTTTTTTAATAATAATTTTGTGCTTCCATGTTACACTTTAGTAATATAATGCCATCACTCATTAGACCTACATAACATTACTCATTAAAAAAACATAACGAAACGCGTTTGTTTTCAGTTGTTTTCCTTGTCAGTGGAACGTTTACAATTATAGATTTTTATAGTTACTATCATTTTTTTAAAACAATTTACAAAACGTGTGGCGAACATAAAAATCCAACTTGAAACTGTTTCATGAGGCAACTGAATATAACCAGGTACCTATAGTAGATACTGAATTGCTTATTAATATTATACCTATACTTAATAGTCAATACGTGTCAAGTAATTAAATAGGTACAAGCAATCTAATCGTTATACATTTTAAGAAATTTACTAAATTTTCAAAATTTGAATAAAATGTTATTGTAATGGTTAAAAAAAAGACTATATCCATTACTCCATCGAAAACTATTCATATTTTAAAATAAACTAGGTCTTAGTTTGTATAAGGACATAAGACAATTTATTTTGAAATGTTACATATTATCGTATCGCTTAGATTCAGTAATTATGATATAATGAAGGGGAACACAATATGTATAATGTGTTTTTTAAACAATTAAAAATGGCTATTAAAAATTTACTATTTACTGTGTCGAAAAAAAAAAGTGTTTTATTTTTTTTAAATGTAGCTTATTCATATTCATAATATATTTATAACACGTGCGCATTTTATTGGCACTATGTTCATAAATTAACGATAACTCAGCTTAATATTGTTTAAAGTAGTACAAAAATTTAATGACTGTAAATTTCGTAATAGGTTTAGTGTATACCTAACCTAACCTACTACTTATATAATATGTATATTTTAGTATGCATTACTATTTTTATAATTATATATCATATATACTATATAGCTTTAAAATCAATCTCACCATGTAAAACTAGTTGAATTTGTGAAGTTATAAATGTTGAAACTTGTAAGCGTCCAGAAACGAACTATGGAATATTTAGAATGTCAAAAGTACCATGATGATAAAAATGATCTATTTACCTACTTAAAATAAGTTGTTAATCATCAATAGGCATAATAGGTACTAAAGGCACAGATTAATGTATTTAATCAGTGAATTGTTGCATAAACAAGTAGGCAGGTATACAACAATTTGTCAATTATCTATTATTCATGAAATTCATGACAATACATGACTATAATTTGTGGTTATCCTATACCTAAGTTGAATCGTTTCAAACCAATCGATATGAAAAAGGTTTATAACTGAGGTACAATATAAGTTTGGACGCAATTGAAAACTAACCTTCTTTTACATTTGGCGGAAATGAGATGGGAACTAAAATGTTTTTTTTTTTGTTTTGTAAACAAATAGGCCCCATATTATTATGTATTATAATACAAAAGAACGAACAATGCAAAGCAAATACATAACAGTTTCTGCCACTGCCAATTTGCCAACATCCATTTCGTTTAAAAACAAGGTTTTGTATAAGTACACAGCGCGCGGTAAACACTTGTACTATTTTCCACCCACTACCGAAAATCCAATCCATTGGTAAAGGTATATATATATATACACATTTTATTGACATCCCAACGCTGTTCGATCATATACCGGCCACTTATATGTAGATATATATATAATATAGATATATTATGTATAATATATGTTCTGCAAGGAAAAATAACTTATCGAATAAGGAAAGTCCGGTGCGTGTGTGATGTATCGCGGGATGTGTTGGTCGACGAGGTGTGGTTGGTGGGCGGGTTTTTGAATGACTGAGAGAGGAAGCCTTTACAACAATAACCACTTAGCCAGACGGGTTTATGCCAATAGCTGGTTTTTGTTTATTGAAAAGCTTCCGAGGAAAAGGGGTCGAGAATAATACACATAAGCAATGTATATTGCTAACGGCTCTCGTGGTTTTGGGGCCACACACTAGGAAATAAAACCGTATGGAGAGAAAAACTATAGAGATACCGAGCGAGGGGAGGGAGCGCGAGAGAGAGAGAGAGAGAGAGAGTGAGTGAGCCGCGGTGACCGAAAATATTTATCGCCGAGCTCGTTTAATCACGATGCCGCCGCAGCTTGGGGTTATCCAAATAATTGGTTTTCGGTTATGAAAACAACAGATGCGAGGAGAATAATATGTGATGGGACGTGATGCGTCTCCAGGGACTCCGTGTACATTCGCTCCGCGCCGTGGCGTTTGCCCTTTTCGGTCCGAGTGCGTCCGTTCACGTATACAATATATACCATATATATATGTGTGTGTGTGTGTGTATACACTCTCGTACGGAGAGAATTTAAAAGTAATTTATATTGTTTTCGTTTCCGGCCTGTGAAACCGAATACGAACGTCGGCCGAACAGCGCTAGATGAGCCGGCATCTGTATGATCATGATCCCCGTTAATACTGTACGCCTATGATGTTGTCGTCGGCGGGTTCGCGAATTTGATTATCGTCTAGGTCGTGTTTTCGGTACCCAAAACAACTCGCCGAGCCTCTTCTCACCCAACTCCGTTCCGCCATTCGAAAAACGCATCAAGAATTTCTAATCCGACGCGGTGCAGAATATGTCGTAAATGTGTTGTTTATACACGACGAGGCCAGCCCTAAAGTTGTGCCCCTCCTCTCCCCATCCACCCGACAAGTGTAAGCACTGAGTATTACGGTCGAGTACCAAACGTGGTGGAGGAGATCGGTAGGGACGACGGTAAAATATGATAATGGCTTAGTTCCGATGTATATAAAACACGTGTCGGGCGCGGGATAATAAGATGTGGGGAGGTGCTTGCATATTGTTTTGTAAGTCTTATTGTGTAACTTAACTTCTTATAACTGTAACAAGAGTATAACGAAATTCGACAGCCTGTTGTGTTGTTCATCCACCCTTTAACACACCACCACAACTGTGGCGTGTTTCGTCTTGTTGAACCGTATACGCTCGGAAAAAGACAATAATAATAATAATAACGATTACGACGACAGCACAACCACAGCAGCGCACATAATGGTGGGAGTATACCGTTGACGGCGGTCGTGTGTCTCCTCAGTAATAAACCGAAACAATATATATTGTAATAAATACGAGTGCAAGAATATAATACGTAATAATATATCTTACGGTTGTGTATATAGGCCACACATATACCTACACTATATTATTACAGTAATGGGACAGCGCCGCGATCGTTGTTCGCCCGCGTTTAATATAAATCATTTGGCGCCCATTATTCCTCGGTATCTTTTCGGATTCTCGAATCGTAGACGCGATATACGTGCGCATTTATACATATACATTACACATATTATATGTATATATTGTACGCACGCATAATAAATTATATGAACCTAAGTGTGTACAATGATAAATCATACGCGCGCGGACCCGACGCGATAAAATTGCATAACGTTTTTCACGGTCTCTTGCCCGACTGATCGTTTGTCGTTTATGCGCGTTTCGTCCGACCGTTGTTCAAATGTATAGTATATAGCTTGTGATACGACCGCGACGATGATAATATTATTATTGAGACTTCGTTCAGACATTGTCATGGGAGTAGGGTTGTTGTGGGGGGAGGGGGTCGGGGAGGCTAAACTGGGAAGCTAAACGCGCCTCCCGATATTTGATAAACTTTAAAGCATTATACGATAAATTAGGTAGAGATATACCAGCTTATTACCGATTGAAGTGTGTGATTTTTTTTTTACCACGATGAAACCTATAATAATATTTTTCGACCTACCTATCTGTTATATCAGAGGAACGAAGGCGATTGATTAATGTTTTTATGTTCCGTGTTTGTTGCAGAAAGAAAATTATTCATCGGAATGCTGTCGAAAAAAATATCCGAACCCGACATCAGGCTGATGTTCGAACCTTTTGGAGCCATCGAAGAGTGTTCGGTGCTCCGGGACCCGAGTGGCGTTAGCAAAGGTAAAAAACATTTCGTTTGAAACAAAATATTACACTACACGTAGGTATATAGTATGACGTTTGAAAAAAAATATATAACCGTACAGGTAGCAATTTAGCGAAACGGTATGGCTGCCGTTCGCTGTGCAACGCGTTTATACATTATATTTTTTTTTAATTTATAAAAAACACGTGTTGTTATTGCGTTATATTCGTTTGGCACTTTTAACTTATTATAATTTAAATAGTGTGTACACAAATATTATACTATACTTTTATGGTAGTTTGCAGCCATCGATTGGGGGTTTTTTTTTATGGTTGCCATATATCTTTCTTTTCCGATTTTAGCGCGCATGATCATGTATGACTTTTTCCATTTAACAAGTATTTATTAGTTGCGCGTGGATGTTAATATCATGTTGTGACCCATCGTGGTGTAGTTAAATGTCCTTATGAAATATAGTTGGTGGTCGCATACTGTATAGAGTGAGCGATAAAGGTTCTTCTTTTTTCATCTTAACATCGACCATATCGTGTAAAAACTAATGTAAGAGTTTAACAAAGTCTGGTTGGAGGCGGCGTTTATGCTCGTCGTAATAAAATGAATTAATATCATTTTAGACTGCGCCGAGGACAGATTTTTGGCTTCCGAGCTACTATAGTACTATATTTATAAGATTTTCTCCAGTACGCACTTATTCTCCTAAGTGCTCCACTGGAGTCGTCAGCAAACACTGTTATGAAAAAATATTATCATTTTTTTTTCGATCGTTCAAAAAGCTGAAACTGCTGTGTACCATTTCATGTATATTATAATATACCATTACCGATGTATACTTAAATAATTATACTTGTTTTGCAGACATAATAATAGTATATTATATAATATTTTCAATAAAGCTTTACAAAATTCGGTGTTTGCTTTAAATTCTTATTTCAGATTTAGAATAGTAGGGTGAGAATTATATTGAATATTTACAATGATATCGACTTCGTATTTGTTTTTGTTTTCACGATGTTATCACTTTCGTATAAAATGGATGTGCCGAAAGTTTCATATACCCATATAGATTGGGACTTGGACACATATGCTACCACTAGTATTAGGTTATTTCGGAAAATTTTCAGTAGTTTTTTTTAGAAAATGGCAAAACACTATTGAAAATCGAGCCCTCACTGCAGGAAACCCAGTGGGAGATTCTCGTTAGATTCCCACTGAGGAACTAAACTTTTTGCATTATTTACAACTTTTTGAACGTCCCAGACAGTTGCAATTTTCACCGATTTTTGTTTTAAGATATTATAGATGTATAGTATTATTAAAAAAGATTTCGATAAAGTTATTGTAATTTAATTCAAAATTTATATGAGGTTATTCTAGCTATAAATAAGATAGTGGGACATCGAAAATTTTCATAAACCATTATGGCTATTTGCTAATATTATAATTCAGTACAGAATTTATTAAATTTAATCAATTAAAAATTCATCGATAAAAACTGAGAATACGATTTGTTGTTGCTTTTAATGTAAAGGCACGATATTACAGTTTCCAAACCCATCTCCAGTGTCAGCATTTTTTATATTAATTATGTATTTATTTTTACTTGGTTTTTTATTTCACTACTTATTACAGGTTGGGACCTAGTAGTACTTTTTAATAGCATTTTATTAAAGAGGTAGCTGCTAGACAGTTTTAAACTAAAAACAAATAATTTAATAAGATGGTACGATTTAAATACTTAATTATCAAATTTCATATTTGATTATTACTTTAATTCTAAATACTTACTGAACTAGTTATTCATTATAATTGAACACCGGGCATTGTCAGTAGGTATTGCATAGTATTGTCATGCCATGTGTATAATATGACGTTTTATAAAAATTAATGTTTTTCTATATACAACTTCAACTTTCAGCTTTTTTCCAACTTACAGACCATGAATATTGTGTCAGTTAAAAATGAGCTATTCGATATTCAGTTCAGGGTTTTTTTTCGAAACAAACTTAAAAATTGTTGGATTTTTTCAAATATTTCTATGTGGGTATAGAATTTGAAAGCTGTATGTGTATTCGTTAATACGACGAGGTACCTATTTAACATTTCGCTTGAAATAATCTTGCATTAAAAAAAACTTGAACATTTTCTCGATTTTTGTTGTGTGTATTCCGGGTTTACTGTGAATTAAAATGTGTTATGTTCATTGTTCAGGGTTTAAGTATAAAATAAATATATATATAAAGAACTCGGTATTTTTACATCACACCGAGAATCGTATACTGCAGCTATAGACTCTCGCGTTGGTTTCGTTTATAATATATTTTTATGTAGAAAAGTATACCTACTGAGAAAAAAAAACTCCATTTAATAACAATGAGCTCTGTATGCTATAGTACCGCTTATTAACACGGCCAGCCAGCCGCGGCGATACCTGTTTGTGAATGATTTTTTTAATATTATACAAATTAATCGACCGACGGTGTCAATATTCTGATGTTTGCAGGTTGTGCGTTCGTCACGTACACGACCAAACAGAACGCCATCGCGGCCATCAAGGGTATGCATCACTCGCAGACCATGGAGGGTTGCACGTGTCCGCTGGTGGTGAAATTCGCCGACACCCAAAAGGAAAAGGACCAGAAACGCATGCAGCAGATGCAAGCGAACCTGTGGGGCCTGGCAGCGACCGGAGGCAACAGCGTGCCCACCGCCCAGTACTTGGCCCTGGGCGTGCTGGCCAATCAGCAGATGAACGTAATTATTAAATTACAATATTTGATACGATTATTTATTCGCGACCGTTTTTCTTCGACGAAACTCGCGTACTCGCTGAAGGTGGGCAGAAAGGAATGACGAGGGGGTGAAACCAGGAATGTTTTAAAATTTGCTTTGGCTTCAGACACGTTTTTTTAAAAAACTTTTTCCTTACCGGTGTTACATTACTGTCGCGTGTCTCGGTCGTCCATCGTATTCGGTTAAACGTCAGCAAACGTCTATATCCCTTTCGTTGACTGTTTACACGCACCGTCAAAATCGTCGCCTGCGTACAGCGTACGTCTGAAAGGTTTTATATAGTTTTACGGTCGAATCTCTTCCAAACAAGTCGTGATGTCGTGTTCCAGATAATGTGTGCACCCTGTAAATCTCTATATACATATTATATGTCGCTTCGTTGCGGTAAATATTATACATTGCAATGCGCCAGCGTATAGTGTTCAAACTTAATATTATACCAACCAACCCGTGAGATTCCTCTTGTTAGGTACACCTCGGATGCGCTACGTAATCTCATCCGTCTACACACGCCACGGATAGTTTAAAAAGTCATTCACGGCACCCTCTCGCGTTGGTGTTATAATAACTGTTGACGTTTCGAAGGAAATTCCCGCGATTTCCCACCCCGTGTGGCGGCGCTTTACACCGGGATAATGACATTTTCACGTGACACTTATTATACTATCGATTATATATTATAATAATATAATATAGAAGCAGTGTACTAAAACGGTTTGCGAATAATTATATAATAACTGACTTTTAGTCCGTTCCTAATAATAATAATAATAATAATAATATTATATTATTATTGTGTTTAAACGCTGCAAACATCTTTATCGTGCAGAAATCTCGTTATGTCGTATACCTCTACCTATACTAATGCACGGTGCACTTTGCCTGCGTTGATTGCAAAATCCGCTCACAGTACGGCGTTCGACCAAATCCTCCTCCACCTCTCGCCTAATCGTTTTCTAATTAAACTTATAAACTGTTCTGCAGCGAGCCGTGTTTATGCGCGTTTTATGAAGTTAGTATTGAAACTAACCCCTTGCACAATGCTCCCGTGGGTGTAAATGGCAATGTAATAAACTTGGTGATTCGGAGCGACTCCGCGAAAACTTTGACCGTAAAAGTATTTTGCCTGTTCGGGTAATTCGCCAAAATAATTTCGTCCATTTTATAAACGCTCCGGACCGTCGTCATGTCTTCTCCCAGTGGATGATAACGAGTTTGTCGTTACACGTCTCAGTAGAAATCATCGGCGCGTGTAGATTTACGATGTTAATTATAAAAAAATCTTATTCACCACTCGGTCGACGGTGAAATCAGAACTTCCCAACTTCTTCAAAATTTTCGTCTACAATTAATTTTGCTTGATAGGTCAACGTGTGCGAGAAACCCCCACGCCTTGATATTTTTTAATATTTGATACATTATGTTACAGGGGCGGACTGGCTACTTTTAGTCCAGGGTACAAAATTAATTAGGGGCTCGTAATTTTTTTTTCAGTCCGCCCCTGATTGTGTATATGTGTAATTGTAATATATTTTATACGTATGCTCTACCGCCTGTACCTATATAGGTACAATATAATATGTATTATAATGTTTGATATATGTGTAATAATATATTATTTCATATACACTTATATGGCCACTATTCCGAAATTGGTTTTGGTTCGTTTCGAACAGCTACTTTAATTTTAAATTAAAAACCCATTTGGTAGGCAGTAGTACTACTATACGTATGCGACTCGGAAGGAGGTGGATGACGGTGATTCGTAGAATTTGAAATGGTGGAAGCCTGTAGGCGACAAAGGTTAGGTCGCAAAGCGTTTTTACGACGTTAATCGTTTAACATATTTTCTGTCTCCGGGTAAAACGATTGGATTGATATATATATATATATAATATATACATATATTTATTATAATACGATACGAATATATTGCGTTTACTTTCAAAACTCGAATTTTATTGATTTTTACCGCAGACGCGTTTTCCGCTATATTACATTTCAACGCGCCTCGCCCTTTCCGCGTTTCAGACGAATCGATCCGACCAGAAGACGACCGACCAACTGTCGGGGCCCTTTTTATTGCGGTAACAGTAATAATATAAAAAATATTGTTCCATCATTAATCTAAATATTGTAGTATCGCTTTGCTTATTAATATCATCATCGTCGTCTTTCTCCGACGTGTACCTACACCAATCGGGCGTGAACGCAATTTTATTAATTTTCTCTTACTCGGTGGTGCTAGAAAATTTAAATCAAACCTGCATGCGCGGAGGTGCAGCTCTTTCTCAACCTCCCATTGTCGTCATACTTAACGTTGTTGATACTGAAAAAAAAAATGTTCTATACTTGATAATTTATTAGAGACACATAATAGCAGATCCAATTAGCACGTCATTGATATTACATCCTTTGAGTGTTTTATACGTCGACACGTGCTAATCGTGTATTGTTTGAAAACTGAAAAATATTACACGCCATTTGTTATACGTATTTTCGATTTTTTAACCGGCATTTTTTCTCATTCGATAACTTGAAAACAAATATGAGTGATAAAAAATACATCATAATATCGTTATAATAATGTAACGCGACCGGCGTGTAGGATGTTTTTCGCTCGATTTTCGTCAAACGCTTTCGGAGAGACGGCCCCTCCATATTCCTTCCCCTCTCCCCACCCAATAACCACAATTCTGAACGAACACGGTGCGCGCACTGCTGCAGGTCTGTGTATAGTGTTTCGGCCGACGGTGATGTGCACTGCACCGTTGTGCGACCGCCGATGCGTAACGATTGCGTTTTTTTCATGATTTGCAGAATGACACGAATTCGCTGTCGTCGCAAGTGCTCCAGCAGATCCAGCTGAACGCCGCCGCCGCCGCCGTGGCCGCCAACAACAACAACAACCACCAGCTGAACAATCTGCTTTTGACCAGCAACACAGGTGCGTTTTTCTTGGGTCTGTGTTTGTGAATAAACCTCTCGGTACAGCCGAATTACCGGTGTATTGTGTGAGATGTGACGCGGAAGAATGGGCAATATGTTATTACTAATCATAATAATATTATAATACATATTATTATGTGTACGACGCATTCTTTTGAAAACTCGTGGCCGCAATATTGTTAGGTAGAGAAAAAAAATCGCCACCAGCATAATATGTTTTATTTTTTCGATTTTTACGAAGCTTTTTACCGTTTTATTTAAATTTTTCTAAAACGTTATTGTATTCCGTTCCGATATTATTCGTTTCCGGTACGCAGGTACTCCCTATTATACATTTACTTAATATATTGTTGTTTCTTATCAGTCGGAACGTATATTGTATACAACGACGACGATTGAACGTTCGAATACCTACTACGAATGTACACATGAATATGATTCGTCGTGTTCGCGCATACAAATGTAAAACATAATAACTTGGACTGTAATTCGTATACACCGCCGCCGATCTCTCATTGAACACACCCAAAGCAGATGATCGTTTAAAACATGTAAAAAGGACATCAGAATTTATTGCCGTAATTCTTTACTTACTGCCCATGCCGTTTCGATAACACACATAAACGGCAATCATCCTGTAACCGTCAAAATGCAATAAATGTATCGAAAACTATATTATTTATATTATGATGCTCTCGATCATTGTTAATACTGGGTGATCCATTTAACGTAGAACATTACTCTTAGCAGTTTAAAAATCATAAAACATTTTGAAATTTATATTTAAAAAATAAATTATTTTTACTTTTTTAAGCGGAATCATTTTTTAAATCTCACTTTTTTAATTCCTCATTACAAAGCAGAATATTTTTGGCGTACTTCGGTGTACATAAAAATCGAATTTTGGACGGGCACTGACTACTGAGTAGTTTATGTAGCTTATATTTTTAGATGATTGGGGAGTGGAGTGGTAGTGGTACAAGCAGCGGTCCTTCAAAATTCCGGTCCACTAATCCACAAATCTAAAAAATTTAAACAAGTATTTATAACTCAGTTATAAGTATTTAAATTTGTATGAGTTATAACTCATAAACTATTTATAAATTATAACTAATAAACTGCTTGTTCGAAGTTTAATTTTTATAAATAGAAATAGGTAATATTTTTAATAATATTTTGCTCCTGAATATGAAATAGAAATATTTGCTAAAACGTTGGTGAATGTTAAAGAGTGTCTTACGTTAAATAGATCATCCCGTATATTTACTTTTTGAAATGTCACGCTCATTTTAACCGACGACGATTCTGTTGGAAATATATATCCGTTTACATGGGTTGGTTATATGAGGTCGTCGAGTGTATGTAAATATTTTAAAATAACATAATATATATTACACAAAGTTTTAAGTAGTTTAACATTATATTCAAAACGCTACTTACCGTGGACCTGTAATACGGAACATCGGAACGAACGTTTTTTTATCCTTAAAACATGATGGGAAGTGAATGTCACTTATATATGTACTTATTTATTAGGTACCTATGACCTACCTAATACATTATAATACACTAGCCCTTCGGTCTAGTAGTTAGTACATTTTAATATATTTTCTTTTCATTACCTACTATATATTATGCATATATTATATACTATTATGTAATCTATTTAATATTTATGATATATTGTTGCTCAATTAACTGTCGGTGGCGGTGTCATACTATATTCGTCTGTTCTATATATACCTATAGAATAATAGTACTATATACTGTACGACGGCCGTTTTATTATTATAATTTTTGTTGTAAAATATCATTAATTTCATGTGACCCCCAATATTCAGGTGCGCTCAAATCCCCGTATCATGTCCAGACGTCCCATTACCATCCCACACATGTAGATACCATGTCACCTCGGCGTTTAGATTACACCGATCCTTTCTATACAGGCTACCAAAATTTGTCAGCGTCGCCGCCGAGCCTGGGAGACTTGAACCCTGGAAACTTGCAGAACTTGTCGACCCTCGCCAATTTGTCCGTCGGAAACCCTAGTGAGTAAAACGTGTGATAATATTTTTGTCGTTATTGTGTAGTGTTTTTATATTGTATATTGTATGTTGTGTGAAACGTTTGTTTGCTTATCTGTTGTTATTATAACATAATAATACACATCATAGTATAGGTATAACGGGTCATATGACAATCGTTATAGATAGCTAAAATAATAATAATAAAATCAACAGTTATAATACTTATAATAGTAATATAATTTTATTATTATTACTTTTCTGCGATTCAATTGGGCAATCATATACCTACATGCCGTTTTAAGCGTTTGAAATCGAAACGAGAATGAATATTATTATGTTAACAATTGTTATTTCGTTATTCCACGTTAATTACTGTAACAATTTCTATTTAGACGTCAAGTGAATTATTGTTAAATAATCAAATATACATGTTTAGGTTTACATATTATTTCGGGTTAAATTTTAGTTGTTTAATAGGTCGAGTACTTTTCTAACCACGAACCAGCTAATAACACTCAATTTACTATCGCTGGGCTCATGCTGGTTAGCGAATATTATTTGTAGTTTAAACTTGAAATCATTTATGTTTAGTATGCTTCTGGTACATTACGATTAAAGTTTAAAGTTTTAGCACAATGATACAATGGCATTGTATATAACTGGTGACGAATTGTGAATTTAAATAAAAAAAATTGTATTGTTATATGAGTACAATAAAAATAGAATCCCGAGACAAGCTAAGTACTGTGTAGTCTGAACTTATAGTGTATAGTCAAGTATCGAGCGTGTTTAACTCACAGAAAGTAAAATAAATTATATATAATTAGTGAAATAATTTTTATTTTATATGTGTGTTCAAACGTGAAGTTTAAATTTATTTTAATTTTGGATGACACGGCGTTAGAACTTTCTGTACCTGCGCCTTGCGCCTACCTTTTTTTTATGCACGTATTTTATTTCGCTCGTTTACCTGCAAGGCAACAAACAGTTAGGGTTTTATTTTCCTTCCTTTTCGCTTACAGTAACCTTTTTTTTTTTTTTTAACGAGCCGACTTTTAAACATTTCACATTTCCCGTCCAACCGATCGGTGCGGTGTTTCTTATAAATGCTCGTCGTCGCCGCGATGTGCTTCTAATAATAATGTACGCCCGAATTCCAAGTGCGGCAACCACGTGATGACCGCACGCCTATTGTAATAATATGCTGACTGCATTTAAACCTTTGTCCTTATTATTTTTGGACAAGAGCCAAGAACAAAAAGTTGGAAAACAGTAGCTTTTTTAAGGGTGATTATTGACGCAGTCCGTCCTAAACGAAGATTCCCGAAGTATTAGGAAAAATTACAATAATTTAATAATTATTATGCAAATGACACATTTAAATACCTACACTATTCGAATTCGTTGTATGTGGTCGGTATACCATTATTGGTTGTTTCGTAGTCACGAGATTAAATAGAAAAACCATACCGGTTTTGCGTGGAATGGAACTATCCACTGTCGTTATTTTCTGACACGAGATACGGACTTCTGCACTCAATAGCCGAACCGTAATTTCGCAACAAAAAATAATTGTGACATCTTATTTAAAAATTTAAACATCAAGAATTAATGACTCGTCAACAGTAAAAGATAGATATCGACTTAAATCCAGAAAAAGCATCATTGGCATAATCCAACGCAGTACAGAGCTCACCAGAAAAAGAAATAACCTTACAGATTAGAAGACGAGAATACAAAACACCGTGTGAGGTGAAATAAAAACTGCCTGAAGTACACAACTTTATGCCGAGGGGGAAGTAAGGCATTAAACAGCTTAAGAACAGGTGTCGCACGATGTAAAATACCTACTAATAAAATGGAACATAAAGGGTGAAACTACTAACTGCGAATGCGGTGAAACACAATGAACTAACCATCCGCTGTACGATGTCCTCTAATTGGAGAAAACCTCTTGCGGTGATGAAAAAAACTTCCACCTGGCAAACGAGAAAGCGGCAACATTGCTACTTTTTGGACGACGAAGATCGGAAAATGGAGATGTCAAACGTACGAAAATAAAAATATAAACCCTCTACCAAGCCGACTAGATGAAGATGTCGTTCATCTCTGGTGACAATTTGTGAGCACGCTATCTCTTCACTTGTGTCAAACGATTATTTTAAATCGAAAGTGCCTGTGTCTGTTGTGCTCATTTAAATGCATTGTAGTATTGTATATCATACAACCGTAGTCGCGTATATGGTATATCGCTACTACTACTACTACTACTATAACTGCAACTCTGTGGTAGCACTAGGTACTGGGCTGTCAATTTAATGAACACAAAATTCTGAAATACTTAATTAATTAACATGCATCGGTATGGTGTACTTACCAATAAATAATTAAATAATTAGTACTTATACAATTAATATACTACCGCTGTTGAAAATATATAGCAAGTAACAACACGTTTCTGCCCGATAATAGTAACTAATATAATGTTATCCAGTAAACACAAATGAATAAACTCGGGAGTCTTAAATATTACAATTTAAATATACATACTCGTAACTCGCTTAAAAATTAAAATATCGTAAAAACAAAAGTGTAGTTAGATATTGTTCTCATTTCTCACATTTAAGTTATATAAATATGTCAGTTAACTCTTATTAATACAAAATTTGTTCTGTTGAACGTACATTTGGCACGAAGTACGTACATTCGTAATAAGCATGATTCAATATAATACCTATATTGGTTATCCTTTGCTCTATGATAAAAACGCTTTCGAATTGATTTGCGATGGGATGACTATATACAACAGCTGTAAAAAATAACTAATAGTAGCTACCCATGTCATAATTCAGAACCAATAAATACTTTTTATACATCTTTAATTGTAGGTTTACTGTTCATTATAATATTACCGTTTATGGAGCGCTACACATTATTTTTCCTAGTCGTTTCATGTCACCTTATCAGAAGCCGATAGATAACCAGTAAAATATTATCTTAAATCGCGTAGCGTTCGTACGATGGAGACAACAACACATACACTATTTAATATTTACACTTAAGTAGGAAATGGTCTACATTATTAACTTAATAAAGTCGATGAGTAAAATACAATACAGAATAATCGATTTACCCGATATTTCTCAATACCACAATGAAATTAATGTACGGTAGTAAAATGTCAAATCATATTTTTTTAAATTATTGTTGTAGCTACCTATCAGATATTCAGATGGCTACATAAAAATGATGAAATATGCAAAAAAAAAAAAAACTGTTATTTGCACTAACGCCTAAAATATGCTAAATGTGTTTCTGCATTTAGTATGGCAATAATTAATGACTATTTGATAACATTTTTTTTTCGCATAATATTTTTAATTCGGATTGAAATTCATCGATATGCTAAATCATTAAATTCACAGTCCTGGTGTGTGCCATTGCCGCTGCCGTATACGTGTCTGCGGCGATAACCGGAGACGCGCACCAGCAAAATTATAATACAAACGATAATAATAATAATCATATAATACTCGAACCGGAAGTAGTTTTCCTTGTATAGCGCGTGGTCGATTGGCAGTCTCTTTGTGTCGTCACCGTCAACCGAATTATATTTATCATTTGAATATGACATAACGGCGCCATTTTTTTTACCCCTCGGCTTCCGTTAATTATATTAATTATTATTCATGATCGGTTGGCAGCAGGCAACGGACACGTCGATACTTGGTGTGTGTTTTTCATAAAATTACGTTCCCGTGTTCTATAAACCAATACTATATTTGTGGTGTCTGTTATTGTTTTACCATAATCATTTTTTGTTTTCCAGTAGTCAACTCTGTGAACATGCAGAATCTAGTCACGTTGGCAGCGATGGGAGCAAATTCCGTCTCGCCTACAGGTAAACCACCATTAATAAATTATCGTTATACTTTATTATTGATCTTATACATTTTTTTTTTGGGGGGGGGGGCTTTCTCGATCTAACGACTTCCGTTCAATTAAAGTTGGTGGGTGAAACGGGCACAATCAGATTGACCGTGTGTTGGCCTGTTTTAATGCTATTAGGTTTTTATTGTACCTAATTACAAATATTGAATTTTTATAACGAATTGTCCGAATTTCGAGATTTTTTTAAAATATTTATTATTTGTTCACTAGACATAAAATAAAACGGTTGAACATACATTATTCTGATGCATATAATAATAATTTAATTATATATATATTATAATCAAATTGAATTAAATCAATGTATTTTTTTTCAAATATCAAATCAAAATGATGTCATGCGACAACTATGAAAAGAAAAAATAATACATTTTTTAGGACAAAACAATTATAAAATTTCACAATATTATTGTGGGTACGACATTGACTTAAACAATTGGTGAAGTTAAATGTAATTAGCAGAAAAAAAAATCCGTAAGACCTGCCAACTCAACTAAATGTTATTCGGAATATAAACGACGTGTGTGTTGTTAAATTTTTAACGAGCCCAGTCATTGCATAAAATTATATTTAATACATTACTGTGAACGAAAATTAGTTACAATAGATGTATATTATAATATTATATTGTGTTATATATCAGTCGATCGAAATCATACTCCATGTTTTAATTAATTAGAAATGCAATTTCGCATCGGAGCTTTTCCTCAAAACTTTTGAATGTCGTCTGCAAGTTTATGGAAGTACAAAGTTATTAGAGGAAAATGGAATAATAACTGGTACACAATATGCGCGTACAATGTTCAAAAATGTTTTTCAATGTGCCGTCACCTTTTATATTTTATTATAGTGTTGCTGTGTGGAACCCACGACCACCGTTTTAGTTTTTAAACACTACAATTTTGTTTATTTACACGCCTTTTGCAATACACATTGAGTCTGCTGCTCGAGTAGTACCCTACCAGTGACGAATATTTTTTTACATCTTGTGATATATTACTCAATTTATTAGCATGTTAAAAAAGTCACTTTAACCGGTCGAGAAAGCTATGTTATTATTAATTAAGTATGTTTTAATATTATATTATTGTATAAAGATATCCATGCAAATTAATTTTTAACAGTAAATCTCAAAAAACAATAATTAAATCAAATCATGTTTATTATTTTAGGGTCCAGTTCGTCTAGTCTAAGTAGTTCAGGTTGGTTTATTTTACAGGGTTTTATGTCGATACATATACTATTTTTATTTTTACTGAAATTATTATCTTCGGCCACTTTGTTTTGTGTGTCTGTATTTGTTTTGTATCCTGATTATTTCTAAGTTAATTTTGCTTAATGTAATGCATTTGCATGATTTTTATTTTTATTTGGTGTAACAATAATTAATAATATGTTTTTGCCTTGAATATTCGATTGTCATTAATTTTTAGATTTTATCATATAAATATACTACTTTTACGACCACCCATTCGTTATATTTTTGGTTAAAACAATGAACTCAATATAAATTATCCAATCAATCAATATTTTTACTTTTATTTTTCCATTTGAATTAGATTACATTGAAAAGGCCGATAGTTCAAAATTAATATGCATCTTGATAATATAATATAATATAATTATAAATATAATAGAAATATTATTATTTGTAGATTATCTGTTTAAACACTTTAATTTCAAATCATAGTGTAATAAATTAAAATTTATTATACTTTTGGTGGCAGATTTTCTATTATTATTAGTTATGACTTATTAATATAAATTATTCAATCACAAGATTTTATAGTTTTTAAACTTTGTTGCAAAATATTAAAACCCTTCTATAAAATAGGACATAGATATGTTTTAATTTCAGTAAATTGGGTTTTTTTAAAAAGATAATTTTGTGCTAGGCTTGATAATTTAACCTAATTTTGACAAGGTCGTTTTAAGACTGTAAATTAGTAAACTTAGCTTAACACAAATATTTTTTTCTTAATATAAAGTTTATAAGTTTATTGTTTATTGTAACAAACGCTTTATTTGAATTTACCTAACCAAAACTTTTGAAATGGTTTAAATAAATGCCCAGAGTCTATCCCCATAAATATTAATATTTAAAGTATCCAGATATGACACGTATCATGGTAATTAATTGTATAATTATTAAAAGACTATATTAATTTCAAATACAATATAACCTATTTTACGTTCCTGGCCGAAAATTATTTATTTTATTTTATATTGATAAATTCATTACTATGTCAAAGTCATCTGAACAATACACGTTATACACACATAACAATTGGATTTATGACTTTTATTAGCTAAGAAATTGCATGTTTTTTTTATACTCCTTTTTTTATATTAGGTACTTACTGGTAAGATCATGATATAATGGAAGTAGAATATACCTAGTATACTATATTTTGCGTAATATAATTTTATTCATGATAATTTATATTTTCGTTAATTATGCATTTGTATTGCACATTATGTTTAAAGTTCAGGAAATGTCATGTGTAAAAAATGCTAACTACATATTATTATTATTATTATTATTGTAAATATTATACCTACCCTTGGAACCTAATAATATTAAGTACCCACATTATAATATAATACATATAATATTAGCGATTTGTTTTATCAATAATAGTTTGTATTTGTAATACATTTCATGTAAATGCTTGAAATCCATTTACGACTTGGTAATTTTATTTTTGGAAAATTAACTGGGAATAAATATTTTAATATGTTTCAAACCGTGCTTACCTACAATTACATAATCCAAAAGTGTATAATATGTTATATGAGATTTAATGTTTTTGTTTTATGTTTGGAATTTTAGCACGTTACTTATAATATACGTATATAGTTTTGCATATTAACGCTTTGTTACATATAAAAATAACCTTTAATTTAAAGATGCGTTTCTAATACAACGATTTTGTGTTTCAGCTCTGTCGAGTTTGTCGCCTACGTCTGCAGCCGCTGCAGGTTTGTACAATTTATTATTCCTTATGTATATATTTTTGTCTCCCATGTCCGGTTATTATTATTATTATTATCTTACATTTTAATACTCCTCGCGTTTCCTTTTGTTTTTACTGTTTCGTTGTATGTTTGTTTTTTTTCTCATTTGACTCCATACTTTTCTTTTTTAGTTTTATTTGGGAAAAATTCCGGTAAGTGGTCTTGGAATATGACGTGTGTTTGTGTGTGTGTGTGTGTACGCGTGATTGTATTTATAAGCATTGATTGTTATTGTTTTCCTTCTCTCTTACGAAAAAATTAAACCAAACATATATGTACAAGGTGTAACAGAAAAACCTGACGAAAAAAAAAATGTTGCTACTTAAACGTATGACAAAATGTATACAAGTATTTTAACGTATGTTAAAATTATATGATAAGTAAATAATTTAAGAAATATACTCATTTCGGCAAATTTTGAAAAAAATATTTTGAAAAAAGTTAAATTGCGTTTCAAATTAATTTTAATCAAAAAATATTGATATTTTAAAATATTCTAAAAAATAAACTACTTGACTTAGATAAATGTTTTTACTATCAAAATTGTTTTTATAAACAAATTCACAAATTGGCTATTTTGAGTAAATCCAAAAAAATGTTAATAAAATTTAAAATTTTTTATTTTCAGTGTTAACAAATAAAAATAATTTTTATATAATATAATATAATATGTGTAGCGGAAGTGACTATAAATTATATAAATATAAAATAAAAATTTTAAATATTGATTAGAACAAAAATTATTCAAAAAGTCAGTTCTATCTGTTACATCCTGTATAATAATACTATGTGCGATAATGTAGCGTGTGTACTTGCAAGCGAGACGATAATTATGATATAACGCGTGTAATGTGTCTTGTGTACGTCTGGCTATAAAACAATAATTATTGTTTCGTCGGAGCGATGTTGTTGTCTCCTCCGCGAGTCTATCCCTATACACTTTATACTTCGTCACCATCAACACAGATCCGATAGTTTTTTTTTGTCAAGAGTGAATTCTTCTCATTAACATACAGCGAAACGTGAAACACAAGTGTTATTGTTCTAAACTCGTGCGTTTTGCGGTTTTGTTTTGTTTTGTAGGTCTTTTGGCGGGCACCAACGGCACGAACGGCGGCACATACGGTTCGTCGCTGAACGCACTCGGTCTCACGCTGGCCGACCTCAACTCAAACCAGTTCGCCATGCCGCAATCGCCACCGGCCAGTTCGCCGCTGTACTTTTTGAACAACAACAATAACAACAACAACAGTCGTGAGTACAACAATTAATTTGACCGTCGTTTAAGGAAACAAAACCAAATTTACCGCACCCCCGTCCAAAGCGTCGCCGTGTTTAAAAACAACCCCGTCGCGCGATAATCCGAAGAACTTTGCAGAGGAAGTGATAAAATATAAACCCCCTCCACCGTGGTGTTTAGTCCGAGGGAGAAATCAAATAACACAGCGATAGGGTTTTTTTTTTTTTTTTGTAAACGTGACAACTGGAAGTAATGTGTTTATATTTCACGAGCCGCTTTCGAAACCGTCAAATTTCACGATCCAGGGTTTCTTATTCTTCTCAAAAATTGAACCTTTATTTTATTGTCCGATGTGTTTTGAACGAGTTATTATTATAAACTTTTCTTTTTTATTATTAATAAATTATTGACTTACTTGAGTAGCGTGGCGGGGCTGCCGCATTGTTTGTATTATAGTAGACAACAGAACAATGCAATATCGATGAATAAGTGGTGGTACACACACAACGAGGAAAAATCAACTCCCAGTGTCCGCAATAATACAAAAACAGACATTAATTCGTTTGAGATATATTCTATCGTTAACAACTCCCCCTTTTTACCTTTAAGAAACTTGAAATATAGTACCAAAATATTGTTGTGAAACATGATAATCAATAAATATAACATTAATTAATATTATATAAAACATGAATATTGGTAAATTTTGATTACAAGCTGTCATAATATGTTATATTATGTATAATAGGGTTGTGGCTTTCCTATTTCCGAAACATATTTTGTAACTATGATAACAATTATTTAGTAGGTACTATGATATTAATTGAGAATATGACGACAAATTAAATTTTGTTTAAGGATTATCCATTTGTAAGCACGTGCAGGACATTGGTACAATTTCGATATGTTTCTTTCTTATTTATTGTATACCTATTCGCTAAGATGTCTTCGAAATAGTTTTATTGATCGGATAAACTGAATTACAAAATATTATAGTTACGTGATTACGACACAATCCTGGAAAAAATTCTTCTCAAAAATTGATATTCAAGTACCTACGCATTTATGTTTCCCGACTACGTAAAATGTGTTATCTACGGTTGGCTTGTTGTGCCTCGCGGTAGTCATTATTTTTTATCATCCCTCTGAACTAAAACTCTTTAGATACATGCCCCTGATACCGAATTATCGATATTTCCAATAAAGATTACAAATATTACCTATATAATATATTATATTTTATAGGCTCATATAATAAATGTAAATGTTAAACAATTTAAAAGATTGTACTGTACAATGTCTAAAATAAAACTTTTATTAACATTTGAGAAATATACATTGTTCATAATGCTCTTAACATAAAATTTATTTAGTTTTTTTTGGAACGTTTTGAATTATGACACTATGTAGCACAGGATTTAACTATGGAAAAATAAACTATAAATTATTCGGTTCACGGTTAAAGTACTTACCCTGATTAATACGACCCTAAGTATTTTCATAAACTAAATTTTTCACGTATATTGTATTAATCTTCAACAGATGGCATCTCAATCAAACATAGTTATTTCTTGAGTTCGTTTTTGATGATTTGATGTTGCAACCTATCCATGTAAAAAAAAATTACCAGTTTTGTTTTATATAAAACGTATTTGTTTTTTCGAAAGTATGTTAAAATAACTTTTTGTTATGTTCACGAAATATCAAATAGTTTAATGTTATACAATTATCTCAATTATAATATTACATTATATGTTATTATACGATGTAGATTGCGAGTGATTAATGATTATACATGTATATCATAATAATATGTTCGTATTCATTGTTTTCAAAAATCTTATGGCGTGTGATAGAAATATTTAAAATAAATACTGTATTTTTTTATTTACAAATTATAGTCGAACAATAATAATTACTAAGTTAATTTTAGTTAACCATTATAATATATTAATATAAAAGTGTATACTAAAATCCTATAAAATAATATATAAAAAAAATAGTAATCTAAGGATCCTATTAAACAAACCGTTAGCTCAAAAAAAAAATTTATTAATACATTCACTATTGTCTGGTGTATTCTTTAAATTCGAAATTCATAATTTTCTTTATTTTATTAAATATATTTTAGTAATTATCTTGTTGAGGTAATATATATTTTTTTTTTGTAACCAACTATTTAAATAATGTCAGCAAAAATTATAAGATGGAAATAAAAAATGTTTACAAATAATTATACAAATTACCATTAAAAGTACGTAAAAGCTATAGCAAAATCAGTTTTCCCTCTCTCACATAAGTCATATTTTTAAAATAATAAAACTTGCCTGTATAGTTCACATTCTAATTACACGGTACAAACGCATGTATAATGATATTTTATAAATAAAAAATAACTGCGAACAAAATGTGTTTTGTCAATAAATGAAATAAATAAATTATGTTCAGTCGTGTTTATCTTTTAACTAGGTTAAATAAAAGCCATCAATGTATATCAGTGCCATTGTGCCGAGCATTCGAAGTCGTATTCGTAATAACTGTAGTTGTCGTTGTGGGTTGTCATCAGTCTTACGTCGTTTCGTTTAGACGTTTGACAAGGATTGAATTTGAAAACAAAACATTTAGAATCGTCTGAATACATTTTTTTTTTGTATCCCTAATCGATTTGTTTGGGTTTGTCGCGCGATAATTACACTCGAGACTGGTAATGGTCAGAATAATTTTAAATAAAAATAAAATAATACTTGCAACTGAAAAGGCTTGTGATTGCTGGGCGTGTCATGTTTACAAAACAAAACTTAATGTCGTATATAATGGGTAGTTAATAAGTAAAACAATTCAACGAGTTCCGTAAAACCAGAAAGTCTCCCGAAAATCATTTTAGAAGTTTTAATGCACCAATATATAAAATGTACCTACCTTTATAGCATAAATTCGTAACTTTTGTTTTACTAGCTTTCGGATTCGTTTTGTACATTCATTATGCATGTATTTGAAATGTATACGTATATATATATTGTGACATTGGTTGTCAGTCACTCAGCATTTTCACTGGTAAATTATATAAATGTCACTTCTCTCCTCCCCCCACGCCTCCCACACCGCCATTGCAAACTTCCATACTTAGTTGGCTGCTAAATTTTCGCTTTGCTTTATTTATTTAATAATTAATTAATCAATTATATTTTAACGAACTTTTGTGATCGTCTTGACCGGCTTCATTTTTTAAACTGACAATGCGCTTTTTAAATTTTAAATTTTATATTCACCATATTAAATTTAGATGGGTTGATTGTCTCCCTTATATTATTATATTTACATTTTGTTATGCTATTTTAATACTGTTGTGTTTGTTGTATCGTTTGTTATGTACTATGTTGTTGCGTGATTGTTTTGTTTAGCGACAAAAGTGTCCAGCAAGCAGCTTGAAGGTCCGGAAGGTGCCAATCTGTTTATATACCATCTCCCCCAGGATTTCGCTGATTCTGATCTCGTGACCATGTTTTTACCATTTGGTAACGTTATATCGGCAAAGGTTTACATTGATAAAGAGACCAAACTGTCCAAGTGTTTCGGTAAGTCGCGCAGGTGCGCAATATACGAGCAAAAAACGGTGAAAAATTACGCGTTAAGTTTTACTAATTATCTTTATCATTATTTTTCTATCTATTTTTTTTTTAAATTATTGAAAGCGTAGGCACGAGACGTTTTGTATTCTGTCAAACGATATTATATATAATTTTGTATCCGTGACATTGAAACTATAACATTGTGAACAAATCATGATTGGTGAAATGGTTGAGGATATTGTCGATATTTTCATGCGTGCTCCGCGAGGCTGGTCACCTATTTCTTTAACGGGAAACACATTTTTTTTTTTTACTCCAGTTAACGGCCAACATGTATGTTTTTTCAGACTAGTTTTCACATTTTGGGATGGAGGGGTCGGGAGCATTTGCTCACTTACGCAGTCAACCTATACCTGCCCGTTTACAGTACACCTATTTTCCCTACCTATAATTTAAATATATATCATATTATGCTGTCATGTTGTAATGTATTGTCCTGCTTTTGCCTGTAGTGCAGTTTTATTTAATCATAATAAGTAATAACAGTATTAGACTGTATATTATATGCTAATATTATAGACATGCCTGAAAAAAATGACATGCAACAGTATACAGTTTATCCATCCTGACAAACAATATTCGACCGTTAAGAAGACGCAACAACCGTGAACTAGACCTTTTTTTTTTTATCGCAAGCTCGGTAAATTAACATACCGCATTAGTCAGTAACGTTGGTCATTAAACATTAAGAGGACGTTACACGGACATGTTTTGTTGTCTCCGTCTCACAATTGAGTAACTTAGCAAATTTTATGCTCAGGAGATCGCGTTTAGATCTGTCAGTTTAAAAATTAGAGTGAATTTACTTCTTATACAATTTAAAACTAAGATTAATCCAGGGCATCTCGTAGACATGTGGGCTTTTTGTTATATTTTAATTTTAAAGTAAGTTATGAGTATTTTAAGATGTACAAACAACTTACAATTTTAAAACACTCATAACTCACTTTAAAATTAAAATTAAATAATAAAAAGCCTATGAGACGCCGTAGATCTTACCTTGACATTTTATACGAGATAAATTCACTCTAGTTTTTAAACTGAAGGAGCTAAACTAACTTTTGTGAGCATAACATTTTGCCGTGTTTACCCACTATTGTAAGATGGACACAACTAATGTGCGTGTAACGTCCTCTTAACCGCGCACGTGATATTGTCCGTACCGTGTTTCAACTGTAAAATTAGTCGAAATAAAATCGAACCATTTTACCAGGTACCTATATACTTGATACTTAGCTTCAAAATTGAAACAAAACTTTTGGTTTTGGGGCTCGTCCGTAGATATTTTGCTAGAGTACAAGACCGTACTTGCACGTGAGCTAGACAATGAAGACAAAATATACACGAGTGGTTGCGTCCTCTTAAATTAATAATATAACAATGCATGCTTCCCGTAGACCCGAGGTTTACAATATTCCAGAGTATACTTGGTTGTTATTTAGTGCTTTCAGCGGTATTGATCTAATCGCCGCATCTGGTAACAATAATAATATTAATATAATAATAGTAAAAATAATAATCGAATCGACAACAAATCGCGCATTGTAATAAATAATAATATTATACCATATTATAATATATTATACTATGCGCCTCGTCTTGCCAACAAATACGTCTGTGGGACAATGCTCAGTAATTGGTTGCGTCCCCGTCGCAGCGAGTACAATATGATATTATTGTCGAGGAAAATATTGCTCGATTAATAATCTTACGCCCTGCGAGCACGACAAATAAAAGTACGCTATTATTACCTACTGTTTCGAAAAACTTCAGCTGCAATAAAAATTGACGATCGACATTTGCCCGTCGTAGAATGAAATTCGACGGTTAAATTAATATTTGTTTTTTCCGACTGCCGGCGCGTAAATTTCGTTCACACTACAACATTCCATTTAATGCTATAATTTTGTTACTCGTAGTCGTGTGCGCGTTCGCCAGAGGAAAATGTTTTCGAGTCACAGGATTCGAAAAAGGCACGTTTGAAACGCAGTGTTCCCTCTGAAATGGTGTCCCCCGTAAAGTTTATATTATTATTTCGTTGTTGGCTATTTATAATGACGCGCTGTTGTCCGCGCATTAATAATATTATATTGCACGACAATAAACGAATTATATTTTTCTTTTCGTATAGGGTCATTTCAATATTCGAACTGCGCGTGTGGGTGGTGGGTGTTACTCTCTGTCGCGGCATACCTACGAGTAATTTTCGGAAATGTCGATTTTCAATTTTATCGATATTTTCCACCCGGATAATCCCGACCCTGGTGCGACCGGCGGCATCGTCGCGGGCGGTCTCTGCAGACTCTCCGATGCAAATAATGAATTTCGTATTGATTTTTTGTCGCAACATTCGAACCTCCTCTTTATACACCGCGACCGTTCGGCAAAAACAAAAAAAAACATACATATCAAATATTCCGACGAACAATGTGTAATATATATTTTTTTTATTTCCGAACGCAGTTTCCTCCCGCGGGGTTGGTTTTTTTATCACGTAGACGCGATAATAATTCGCGGTGTAGACCTCTGCGCGAGACGTGTTGGTTGTCGCGCTGGTGGGTGTCCGCCTAGAACACAACGACGAGCATGCATAATAATAACAATAATATACTATTGTGTATCTATTTGTATTTACTACTGTGAAAACCGTGAACCGCTATATTGCAGTGGAGTCGAACTTGGTCAACTCGAAATACGTCATTGAGTATTACGATGACTCGAAACTTTTGTCCGGTCCTCGGCGCACTTCCTATTTGATATAATAATAGTGTATGAAAAACAAAAACAAAAAATATAAGTATTGTGTTTCATTTGATGTTTTTTTTTTTTTTTTCATTATTTTACAAAGGGCAAGTCCAAAATGATTTATTTCCGTGGAAGACACAAAATATTTTTAACGGGGTTTTTTTTTGTTAATGAATTTTAATTTTGATTTTAACATTTTAAATTTATATTTTACTTCATTATTTTAATCGAGAATTAAATTTTTAAAGTAATTTATTTATTGCTTTTAAACCGCATGCGTCACGTTAAAATTTACGACAAAATTGCGCGGGCATCTAAATGGTCGGGCGTGTCATGTGATCAACATAATATAAGATCAATAAAAAATAACTATACTTAGGTATATTTTTAATCGCTCAAATATATAATATTATGTTAAATTAAAATAATAATATATGAGCTTTAATATTTACTAATATTAATATGTTCGCATCAATTTCGAGTTAACCAACTTTGACTGTACAGGCTGCGTGTCGGTGTGATGGGGGGAGGGGGCAGAACAGCCCCGGATAATTTTTAGATACCCACCACCATTCACAATAATATTCTTATACAGATAATTTATATAATCGTGATATGTCTACTAAAGTTACCACCCCCACACGATTATCAATACATAATATTCTCTAGCATATAACTGATAACAACAATGATTTAATAATACCAACATTAATGCATCGTACAAAATACTCATAATTTTTTTTCTTTGTTGTCCGTCTAATGTAGGGTTCGTGTCGTACGACAACGCGTACAGCGCGCAGGCGGCCATACAGACTATGAACTCATACCAGGTGGGCAACAAGAGGCTGAAAGTGCAGCTCAAGAGACCCAAAGAGGCGTCCAGGCCGTACTAACGGCGGCGCCAACCACCGACCGACCAACAACCTGCAAGACCGATCGTGCCTCGCACCACCAAGCAAGAACGGTCGTCGTGTACGGGCCGTGATGTTTTTTTTATTGAAGAAGACATGAAAATGTCTAATAATAAAATTTGTTATGTGTGTACATAATAATACTTGGTTTCTTTTACTTTGTTTCGTTTTTTGTTTTTGTTTTTGTTTTCGTTTATTATTATTATTATTATTATTTTTTTTTTTATATATAATATATAAATAATATGTAATTCTACATGACACAGAATGGTAGAGATATTTTTAACGCAGCTTTTGGTAAAATGATTCGAGAACGAAAGATGTAGGAACTATAATATAATATACTGAATTACGAAAAATCGAAACCTAACTTAATGACATAGGTACTGGCATTCTCATTTGAACTATTTAATTATGTATATGTATATTTATCATATAATATGTATAAGGATATATGTCGAGACTATTAATATTGTTTTGTTTCCGTGTTTCTTTTTCATTATTTCTTTTTTTGTTTTGTTCTAATGTTTTTATTTCTTAACAAAAGGACCAATTTTTCGTTATTATTTATTATTCTTTGGGACGCCGTTTCGACTCGTCTGTCTCTATGTATGTATGGTTTTACACTTAACACTGAACAGTAGTCTTAAATTAATTAATTTTTGATCGTTAAATGACATCTCTAGACTGCTCTTTTATTATTAATGTGTAATGTTTTCTTTATCGTTTTCGAACTAATCGTGTATACCCTTGAAATTATTTGTTCGGCAATCAGGGTATTAAGAGAGTATACCCTTAAAGAAATGTAATTTATTTGATAAATAATGATAATAATGTACTAAAATAACATTTGAATTACGCCCCGTAATGGTTCCTGTAGCTTAATAAAAAAAAATAAAAAAAAACAAAAAATTACATGTTTAGCGTACAGTTTTGTAAAAATAAGTGGTCAAAATAGTATACTCATAATTATGTAATAACTACCTAATAATAATGTTTGTTTTGTTTTTTCTTTTTAATTGCAACGACTTATAAAATTAAATTTTGTTCAGTATTAATTTTAATTTATTGTTTTTGCATGTGTTAATAATTTTATAGACTTTTTTCCAATTGATGCCATTTTCAATAACTACAAAGACTTACATTTTTGTTTAGGTGATATTATTATGTTCTTTGTGCTTAAAAAAAAAAAAACACTAAAAAAAAATCACGTGTTCATGATTGTGAAAATTTGTCTTTTTGTCTTGTGTCCCGTTTGCATTTATATTATATAAAGTAATAATATTGTTGAATAAATGTTTATAATGATATCAATCATCACGATCGTTGACAGGCATTATTGTGATAAGGATAGCCTAATTTTGTTTTGTTTTTTTTATTATTATTAAAATGTTTTTTTTTTTCATTAATTAAAAGCATCGAAACTTAATATTATATTATATATTTATTTATATACATATATATTATAGCACTGCTGCTACTCGTGAGCTAGTAACTTAGTCAAAACGTATTGAATATTTTTTAAAACTAGTGTTTTGGTGCTAAAGCGATTTTTAACATGTTTTTGTTTATTTTTTTTTGCATTAGGCCATATTATGTTATGTAATATTAGGTTAAGGTATCTAGCCCAAGTGAAATGGTTTGTTTGTTTGTTTTTTTTTTTTTTTAATTTTGTTTCAAAATAATTCTCCCATCCAATTTTTTGAAGACTCTTATTATATATATTTAGATAAAACACGTTGTAATATTATGTTTATTGATGTTCACTTATTGTTTGTGAAAGAAAAGTTTTTTGTGTTTAAACATATTTTTTCTGTTCATTTTTATGAAGTTATATATATATATATATATATGAATACTTAATACAAATACATTTGCATGTAATAATGCCGTACAATTAAGTCGTGTGTTGGTGTTTGCTAGTTGATATTATGTGTGTTTGTCTTCTGCAATACTTGTATGTACTATGTACTTATACAATGCGTTGCTATTGTTCTGTATCCGGTGCATCTGCCAATATAATACGGTTCGTTATGTTGTCTATCAAAATTAAAAAAGACAACATGTAACAACTATAATTTTAAATAAATTGTATTTTGTAAATGATACAAATGGTAGTTATTGGGCGGTGCGATTAAAATAAATCTTTAAATAGATCTAAAGAACTTATAGATCTTACTTATCGAACAATATAATTATTAACGAACGGCGGTGGCCTAAATTCGTGGTTTAAACGCAAAACCTGACTGTCATTTTTCAAAATTTGTGATTTTTGCGATCATGTTGGTCGAAAATCTCACCTGAAAAACTTTTATATATTTTTTTTTCTTACTCACAGGGCGTTTGTTCGTCACTGATTAATAGTAGTTTACAGTAGCATAGCCAGTTGGGTGCTAAGGGGGCTATAGCCCACCCCATTGACTGTGTTGACCTCAAAATGTTATCAATATTAATAAAAAAAATAAGTCATTGTATTCGTATACTTAACCCCCCCCCCATACAAAATTCCTGTCTGTGACACTGGTTAACATGCTTACAACTATTCAAAAAAAAAATTATAATTAATGAATAATTTGAAATGTTGCCCAACGGCTTAGCATTTTTATGTAACAATTTGATAGGTATATACTTTGGTTAAATAAACTTTCCGGAGATGGTAATATTTATTATTTTTGAGGGTAAAATAACACTTTTTCGCACTTATAAGAAGAACCTAATCTGCTCCGTTAAATGTAAATTTGGTTATGTATTCGTTTCCAATGTTATGTTTAAAAATTATCTACGAGTATGAAAATCAACACGGACTTAGCGGCGGCGTTTTGAGGAAAAAAAACGATTTTGCTTATTGATAGATTTGGGTGAACCTTAGATCGTATACTATGGATGGAGCCACAGCGTATTAAATCAATACAAAAAAACTCTGCCGATATCAGCGACGAGTCGCGAATCAGGTGGTCGATATGCGCATGCGCAACGTGACTTCTTGCATATTTATCCACAGATACCTATTGTACCAATGGATAATTATGCGAAAAGTTGCATTCACCCAATTCGGTGACTAGTCTCTGTATCGGAAACAAAATCATACACCGTGGCTCCATCCATAGTATAAGATCTAAGGGGTGAACCCGTTAAAAGAGCCTGGATTTTATCGTGGATGTATTCCTGTGCCAACGATGGTATAGCAAACCGCAAAGAAATAAAATTCACTTGGTTCTTCGTCGGGAATAATAATTGAATACGAATAGTGTATCATTAACATAATGCAATTATACACAAAAAAGCAAGCGCTACAAAAGAAATTACTCGAGAAGAATGTAAAAATATTGAATATACCGGTGACGAGGCATGGCGCTCGAGTCTTTAGGTTGGAGCACGTTTTAGAATAGTTTGGGGGCCAAACGATCCGTTTTAAAAGTGTCATCACACGACCGACGTTATGAATCCAAGTCACGTGGTGTGGTGATCTTTTTTTTTTATCCAGAACTATACCTGTGGTAAAGTAAAATTTGTTAATATGTTGTTAATTAAAATATCAATTAATAATTATATGGTTTATATTGTTATTTATTTTTCTTCTTATCCGGCATTTACAACTTTTAGAGTTTTCGCCGCCATCACTACTTACATTGTCACTACTTTGTTATTTACTTATAATATTTGATAATAATGACAACGTGTATGGGTATGTCGGCAACATTGTGATGCTCATATACCCCACTTTTTACAGTGTGTTAAGTTCTCCGCCTATCATTGGTCACATACCAAAGCATGAAGATCGGAGGACCTAACATAGCATACGAAAAAGTGGGAATGAGCAAACGAAATTCTAATACGTATTGTTGCTGACCTACCTCTATATTTTGTCATGCCGGTAACCAGATTCATATTAGCATAGACTTATTAATATATTATATGGACTGCGCATCCCTCATACCATCCTACAGGTTTCCAAGACACGACGTTCCCACATTGATATGTATATAAAAGGGATAGAGTACCTATAGCCATCATAACATATTTGTATTATTTGCTTGAATTTGAATTAAGTATATCCTAACGAAAATGCATACACTTTATTTAATGATAAATATAAATACTTGCACTATTAAATACGATAACAAGACTATTTTATAGATCGTTATCAAATAATTATGCATATTTAGGACAAAATCATATGAGTCGCTTATTAATTTAACATGGATATCTACAAGACTACAACGTATATTTATACAAACAACGTTTTAATCGGCAGTTTCCGTCCATGCAGTCTTAGTTCGTGATTTTTATACAAATTGTAAATGTTACTCCTGGCTTGCCGACTATCGACCACTGGAGTAGACGATCATTCGAGCAATATTTCACTGATTTACGATTCACAGCCGGAAGTAGAACACATGGCTATATATATCTCCATTGCCGCCCCCTTTTCTACATCAGGAAATTGTCTGTTAGGAGGTAGTCAAAATTAAATTCCCAGTAAATTTAAAAATCGTCGGAAAACAAACAAAACTCAAGAAAAAACGGGCATTTTTACCCAAAACGTTTTTAGTACCTAACTCAAAAACAAAAAAGTAGAACTGGGTGAGTTAACTATTTTTTTAACTCGTTGAGTTAATAAAGAAAAATGTAAGTTAAGTTTAAAGTTCATAGTTACCTTAATTTTTTTTAAATTATAAAAGTTTCAAGTTAATTAGAAAACAAAAGTATTACTTAACTTAGTTAAAAATTAGTTCCTTTTTTTCATATAAAATTAATAATATTATACCTTCCTTTTTTTTTTAACAAATAACTTATTATTATTAATTCAATAAATATCTTATAATTTTCAAATAAATGTATGTACCTACTAAAACGAATTACTGAAGGTACTTCTATACTTTAATTAATGATGAAATATAAACAAAATAATTAAATAATTTGTATGTATTGGTTTACTTAATGATTCACAACTATATTAAAATTTAAAATATATCATAATA